GTCTTAAAAAACTATTTATTATAATTATGAAAAACGAAACCTAACACTGGAAACTACGCGCACAGTTGCGAAAGTAAGTTCAAAAGCGTTCCAAAAAGGACGAAGGGGAAGGCAAAGTTAAAACATGAGATAACGTTCATGCGGAGGATGAGGATCGTTCAGATGAAAGCAGGCGGTTAGGGAGCACTGAGACCGGTGAACGATGGGTGACGGGCGTGTCAGCAGGGCATGGACGCCAGACGTCACAGCATCATCGCCTAAGAGAATGACTCTCAGAGGTTTAGATAGTCGCTGGAGATCGTAACACCAATCACACAGCCGAAGCCCACGAAGAAGCCGACCAACTGAAGAAGAAATATCTTGTAGGAGCTGCCGGTGCGCCTTTCGACGTCTTCGACGCTCTGACGCATTGTTGGCAACTGCGAAACAAAAAAATTCCTTATACTTCATTGTGTAGAATAACAGCTAATGTATGGCTGAAACCTTTGTTTACAGGCATCGAACAAGTGCACGAGTAAGTGGACAGAAATGCGTGATCTGTGAAAAGGCAAACAAACGATAGCGCAAAAGACCGAGGCTCCAAAAGATCGGCGCATACAATAGGCGGCCTAGAATTTGACAATAGTAGAATCTGGTGGGCGTTTGGCTGAGGACATCAAAGTTGCGGACCAGTCTCGTGAAAAAAAATTGCTTCTACACCAAATATGCCAGTAAGTGTCAAAGATAACGGACGTCCATGGGCAACTGTAGTGAATTATACAGATATTGTTTTGAACTGGAGGCAGGGTACGAACCATGACGTCAAATAAAGCCAATAATCCGCACTTTTAAACCTTTTTAGGCCTTAAAACTTCCGACCTGCGCGTGCATGTTGCCATATAATACGGAAGCATCGGGACTCTCTGCCAAAAAGGCCGAAACAAACGGTTTCACTGTGCTTGCATGCATGCTATAGTTCGGCCGTCACAAGCGGTCGTCCTCGTGCGTGAACTTGCTTGTGGAGCAGACTTGTGTGGCACCTGCTCCACTCTCTCCTGATGAAACGCAGTAAGAACCCTACGGGGAGGGGTCATAGCTCTTTCTGTGAAAACACCCAAAAACACCTGAAAGAGTCATACGACGGGCGGCTTTGTAAAGCCAACCCTTGTTTGACTTCCTTCGATACGAGCCGATAGAAACTTCAGAGAACAGAAGGCCCAAAACCCAGCCGTCATTGTGAAACTATCAGCCCAAGTAGTTTCGCGTGAAACAGCATCACGGGACTGCGTTGGAAGACCCGATTACTGAGGCTTTGTGACTGTTGGCGGGCAAGCAACCAACGCTGAGGATTACAGTATTCTGGGTTCACGTCAAATACAGGAATCCTGAATGATCTCGGACTTCGAAGTTTGGATGTTTGGAGTTCCATCTCTTGTCGGAGTCATGGGGGGCTGCAAGGGCAGGAAGATCGACGTGGCCTGCCTGTTGTTGGGAGGAGTTCTGCGTACTAATTGGTTGCAGAGACAGCGGAACACTTGAGACGAGTTTCACTTGCTGGTGATAGTCCAGCGGTTGGTAGTGTGCTCCCTTGTACATACGAGGATAGGGCGTAGGTATCAAAGGCTGCACTTAACTCGGCTGTTGGTTTCTGACCAATGTAAAAAATCTCAGTTACATTTAAGTTCTCCACGCTCATAGCTGATATTCAAGTAAGTTGGACCAACAGACAAAAGTCGTCCGAAATTTCTGATCGCGGACGAGGAAAAAAGGGAAACAACGGCACCAGAATCGCTGGTTCTCTTGTTCGCAGATCATTAGCGCCCCTGGGTTTAAAATGTGGTGTGTCGGGGTAGTGGGGGCGGGGAGTGGGGGGTGGATGACGACATTCACCGTCGAGCATAGGAAAACATTCCTATAGAATATGGCCTCAGAAATCTGGTGAAGCGGATTTGACAGAAAGCTGCATTCAAGACTAGATTTGGGAGTGCGGTCGACAGCACCATGCTTGAGGGACATCAAATGTGCAGTCATTTTAAGTACGTAAACAACTACATAGACAATGGAAAAATGTGACGTATAAGAGGCAATGAGATGACCTAAAGACTGGTCTTTAGGAGACCATCGGGGTGTACCACTCGCAAGGACAGTCCAGAAAAAAGGAGCTCAACTGACCATGTCAGAGATGCTGATGTAAAGAAAGAGACCAGCAGTGACCGCAAAGACGTATAGGGCCCCCTGAGATACCTCGCCGATGACCAGGCCAATGGCAAGCCCTACGTAGGCTGAACAGGCCGAGAGGAAGTTGGAACAGAGGGCAGCCCTAACCGAGAGGCCGGAAGAGATGAGAATAGCAAAATCGCCTGTAAAAACCAAAAACAAAAAGAGGACGTCTAGTTAATGAAGATTTTGAATAAACGAGTATAAGTAAAAAACGCAAGAACTGTTTTATATCCCTCTGTCAGCATTTTAAGTACTTTCAAGTGGGAATCATAGACAAACACCATATAGCGAATGGAGTGAGTCCCGTAAGAACGATCGGTGAGCGTCCCCCTACCATTCAAACTAAAAATTGCCATCAGTCTCCCTATTCTTTATCGGCATTCATTGTACAGTTAACAAATATTTAATTACTACTCGTGCGCCTAATTAACGGCGAGCACAGTAAACGATTGCATCGCCGCAGCTAACACTTCAAACACAATTGGGTGTTGAATTCAACGCCCGATTAGGACCTGACCAAACTCAGGGCGCCTCAATTTATTTAGCTATTTCACAGACGTTGGGCCTATGTGAGCTTGACGAGGTTAACTAGAAACTCCGGCCATTAAAGTAGCGTAAACGTCGAGAAACTCTCTCAGCACAGGGTCGTTGCTGTTCCTTCGTGGATGTGAAGGTGCCCCACCAAAACAACGAGACCTTTTAGTGAGCGCTGACAGTGGGAAAGGGGTTAGGCTCTGACGATGCAGATCAAACGCATTGCTGTCGTGTGGTTAACGCTTCTTAATGACATGCCTGCTATTCACATTTCGTGGCGCATCGCCATATCTGCTGAGTTAGTGCAAAGTTCTTTCAAGAATTGGTTGATCTAGAGGAACTTCAGTAAAGTCTTCAGGGTGACGTTGTTTTCATTCCTGGCGGCGAGCACCCTTAATAGCAGCAACATCGAGGAGTCGTTCTGATAGTCAATCATCAGTCACCCCCACGAAATGGCAGTCTCCCGAACTTAGATCAGTTTCAGAATTTCAAAGAAGTCGAGCATGTAAAGTGACCGGTCTCATAAAATGTTAACCGAAATTGGGAGGGCTACTTAAGTAGGGTTGTAATAGCGACTATCGATGGTAGGTGGCGCTCACCGACCGTTCTTATGGAACTCACTCGTTCCGATGTGCCTTCCGGGCTCTCTCTCTCTCTCTCGGGCCAAACCAGCAGCCGCACAGCGGTGCATGATATGGGCAGAATGATATAACCGACAAAGACAAGGGAGACTGGAATGGCCATTTCTGGCTTATTAGCCGTCGTCAGCCAGTCATACCCAACCCCGAAGTGTGGAACACCCGGGGCTCGAACTCGCGACCTGTTAGTTAGAAGTCCACGCCTCTAACCACTGGGCCACGGGCCCCTTGCCCTGTCGGTTGCGATCGAGAATATACAATGGTACAGTAAACAATCGGTATGACTGGCTGACGACAGCTAATAAGCCAGAAAGGCCATCCCACTCTTTGTCATACACAATGCTACTTGAACGGTTTTATTGGAACCTAAATAGATACTTCATTCGAGTAAAAAATTTGAATACGAAGAGATTTGTCACCAATGAATATAATAAAGAATAGTTTTTCGCACAATAGGAATACTGCCTACAGCCTGCTAAACCGAGTCAAAACACACTGCTCTTAAAATTATATTTCTTGGGATGCCTGCCTTCCAATACATATATATTTAAGTCAACAGGGGCATCAAAATCAGCGGAAAATTTCACACTAATCCAGCAGTCATTTTGACGAGTCTTTACATGCGGCCGAAAAATCCAACATCCTCCGCTGTCCGAAATATCATGATTTTATGACGCACGATAATCCATCTTACAATCCCACGTAAGTGATCATCTCCGACTGAATACGCATCTCAGAATTACGGTCGGTTAAAGGACCCTGATGTTCGGGGTCCACTTTTGTCGCTGAATATTCAGAATTCACCAAGGACAGCTAATACGGCAGTTGGTGGGCTTCCTCGCTTGGCATTTTGACGTACTAAGCACGTGCGCTGTAGAACGGTGTAGTTTGTGCTTTAGTTACTTCATAGCTCTTCAGCTTGGCGCTGAGTATTCAGCAGCGGTTCTATACGAAATATCACAGTCTGTAAAAACCTGGGTGGCTTCCGTGATTTGAACCGCGATTTCGTAAGCGACTATATATCTCTTGAAAGCATGTTGAAAAAGGCGAATATGTAAACAGTACCGGGGTGATAAAAAGTAAGGTGGTCAAAAAGGTGATCATGTGACAACCGGCGACGACTCTGGAGTTAACGTAACCCAAGAGTTCCTTCAGCAAAGACCATCAGGCACAATAAACAACAAAAACAAGGTCCTCCTACTGGAGAAGATAGCCAGTTCGACCCAAAGTACACTCAGCGATAGTGGAAGGGACGTCTAAAAACCTGAGTAAAAATCATTATTAGGTCACGCGCGGGCTTACCTAATTCATGTGGCAGTTCTTCGAACAAGACGCTAAGACTCAGGGTAAGGCCGATGATGGGGCTCTGGGAAAAGCCGGCTCCAATGGTTACACCGTCCATCATGTTATGGAAACCATCACCCAGAAGGATCATCCAGGCGACTGGGGCAATTTTGGCAAATTGTTTGGTATTACAGCGAAAACTCGTGCAGCCACAGCATTTCGATCTAATGACGACCTCATCATCCATAGATTCCGCCGAAATTGATTGTTTTGATAGGGCATCACCTTCACCCTTAACAAGAAAACAGCAAAAGTAAGTATCATTGTCAGTACTGTCCTGACCGCTGGTTTAAAGGGTCAAATTGTCCCTCCCTAAGCTGTTCGTGGTTTAATAAACTGCCGGAGCGTACGCGGATCGAGGGCCTTACAGGAAGAATACATGTCGGTCCGGCGACGAGCGAATGTGTAGGCCAATTGTCTTCATCGCTACAACATGCCTGCTTACTTGGTTCAAGTAGGCATCCCTCCAGCGTCATAGAAGTCCTTGGGCCCTATATTCTCAGTAGGCTTACATGTCCAATTCACGCCGTCGACTCTACGCCCAACAGTGCGTGTAATTAGCGTGATGGCGAGTTCAAACTCCCTCTGCTGAAAAGCAATAGTCAGGCCAAAGGGCGAGGCGCAATCACTGTGCGCACCAGCGCCTTAAAAGAGCTTTGGTCTGCCACTTGGGGTCAGTCTCAACAAATAAGGCTTGAGCAGATGACAAAGGGTTTGGTCAAGCCGACAGCAGCCAGCTTAGTGATCCCGATCGGGACTGCTTGCAAGACGAGAACGACCAGAGGTGGGCGTGGGCGCAACGACCAACAAAACAAACAGCTCGTCCACGCGTGCCGCCCACGACCTGATCCCCACCCTAAATGCTACAATGAAGGAAGCTCATGTAGGCTAAAATGCAACAGAGTCTACGTTAGGGAGGAGCCATTACAGTCTGACTCTCAGTCCTGAAGACCAAACTATTCCGTCAGTTAGCAACTTTCAAAGTCAGTCGGCCTAGTGCGTCGCAAGAATTTTCAAGTGCATTCGCGTGTTTGTAGTGAACGATTAAGCGCTGAGGCTGGACTGGAGCGTCCCGAGTCTATCTTCCGTCTCTCATTCCAACGGTTTGGGGTCGTTTCAAGCAACGATCATTACTTCGGACAATCAGCAGGTTGAGGCAATTGGTACTGCCTCAACCACTTGATACGATCAGCGATATTTGCACTGTCTGGAGAACTGAATATTTGTGCGACAGGGGTAGAGGAAGATCACAAGAAATACTGGATCGAAATACCACGTCTACAGGGCGGACTTCAAATGTCGCCGACAATCGAAAGCTACCAAATCTTTAGTCGATTCAGTGGTAGGTTCCTTGCAGGGAGTCTGTTCAGGGTGCGAGTACCGACTTTATTGCGGGTAACTTGACCGAAAGTTGGGCGTGCCGTGAACACTTAAAGCTCCTTCCCGCATTTAACGAGTGATCGGTCCTCTCTCTCACTCTCTCTCTCAAGGGCCGGAGTTCAATTGTAAGGCAGTGCCATGTGTATCTCCCAGTAAAAAACCACCGAAATCTTGCGCCTGTCCTTAAGAAACCAGATAAGGCGAAGTATAACAACTGCGGCATAAGTCTCACCGACAATGCTGTAAAGGTTCATGCAGTTGCCCTTCGTCCAGTTGATCGAAACTACACTTACGGCACTTTCCTGCTGGTGCCGCGCTCTACTTATCCGCAAAATGAAGAGTCTCGAGCGAAGGCCGCCAAAGCAGTGGAGTAATCCCTCAACGCTGTAACACCTAAAAACTATTCTTGAGCTGAATTACTGATAAGAAGACGGTACCTCCTGTGACTAGAGTCTGTCGTCTTGCAGAACTGAATAACCTCGAATATCTCGGCGCGAAGTTTGTGCCAAACTGGCAAAGTAAGGATAGTGTGGTTTCCCTAACCGATACTGTTTACAGGGTTTTCGAAAACCCCAGATATTCATGGACACGTCGTGATACCTCCCCTGTCGCAAAGATCCAGGTGTACCGGGATTCCGTAAGGTAGATCATCGGTAAACGGTCACTATAAAGTGAATAGGTCGTTTGCTACGATCGTTACACCGTACCTACGAAAGAAGTGCCATGGTATCTAATGGGAGTCCGAGAAGATGAGGACAAATCAAATCTGGTGTAGTCACTGCACTGAATAAAACGTGCAATGGAGTTTGGCCAAAAAATCATAAAAGTCAAACTTTTCAGTTTTCTGTAATTTACAATTACATAAGGAATGAGTATATGAGTCAGACATGGTTTATGAGCGTCTCATGGGGTTAGTCAACCTCTTCGTTCCCCCGCCGCTCGCGTGACGAAGTTAGCACGGGAAGAGGGGGACGCACTTATAAACCCTGTCTATGACTCGTCTTCATTCTCCATGTAATGTTACAGACCTGATGATGAATTACTGAAAACGCGTGTTTGCCAATTCGACTGTCCAAACGTAACACGGGAGCATTCCCATAAAAAAAAATAATGAGTCCGTTTTATGAGGCGCAAACAGAAAGAGGCAAAAGTTTCGAATAAGCATGCTTACATCTGATGCAGGAAATGTAATGCCATGTGAATGTCCATGTTTGCCATGGTCGGCAGTCTCGTCCAAATCGCCATCTGAAATGGATATTTCGTTCCCATCTGTGTTCCACTGAAAAGTAAGTGAACCGAGACATTTGCAAAAAAGATAGAAGGTTCTGGAACTCGCAAAGAAGGGTAACTTATGGCGAAGTAATCGGAATTACAATGATAGCACCAACTGCAAAGTCGACAGTCCCTGATTACTGGTCACAAACGGGCAATAAAACAAAGCAATTCTTCATGTCATTTCGCGCCAGTCGTCAGCGGTGTAAACGTCGAGCAGCTTTTGTAACTTAAAGGCAAAAATGTCCGGTAACACCAATGAAGAATGGACTTGGAACATATTTTGTACCTTAAGTTAACCTGAGCACGAACCGTATCAACGAGCAAAACAAAGATTATGCCGTAATAAACGTCCCTTTCGGGATAGGGTAAATCAAATGGCAATTCTGAAGAACATAAACAGAAGCATTGGTTCAATTGTAGTGAATTAGGTTGGATGTGGTTTGGTAGCCCCACCTGAAGTAAACAAACCCCAGCCACCTCTAATACGAGACCGGTGGTAATAGGGGTTTTTACACGCAGAGCCGGGGAACGCACAGGCGACGAGGTCAAGTAGTCGTATGCATAAAAAACGCTATTGGGAGGGCGTGGTCGGACTTTCAATAGTTGACAAATAGTTGCGTTAGCCCCTAACTCTAGCCCCTTATCCTAAACCCCAACCGCTAACCCTAACCATAACCCCTAACCCTTAACACTAACCCCAACAGTATTGTATCTATCAAGTGGGGCTAGCAAGCCCCATCTTACCGTGAACTAGACTGAATGTTTTCATGTCTTAACTAGACTAAACTTCTACATAAAAATACGCCGGTCGGCAGGGTCAGCTGCATGTAAAGACTTCGTGCCAGGGAAGCGGAGTGAACCAGGACTTTCCTAACTACCGTCTCTTGTACACATCGTTTTAAAATAAGTGTACATACACAAAGACCTAGATTAGACCGACGTCTAGTGGAGAGGAAACGGGGCCCTTGTAATGCACCTTCCATGCCTGCTTTAGTAAACTTACCCCCTGGATCTAACGATTCAGTTTTGCTATATAAAAAGACTCTTCTGGCAGGCAGATCGAATTCGGACATCCGACATTGTTTAAAGGTTAAACATTGGTCGAAGTATGCACATGTTGCGCATTTTGATGATCTCTTTGGAGAGATTTTTCACTAGGTTTCTACTTCCACGCACGCGTTCGCAAATAGGCGGGTTGACTTAGTTTTTTCATGGTGCGGTGCCATCGCATCACTGCAATCGCCCCGGTACTTGTTGCCAATGCCAAGAACGCACCGTGCGACTACTGGGCGATCAATGGCATTGGTAGCCTGGTATATTGGAATAGACCGCGGTGAGTGTTGATCGTCAAAAATTTGCGCGACTCTGGAGCGACCTCGATCTGTAAATACGCATCAGCGAGACCCAACTTGGCAAAACAAGTGCCACCATTCAGCAGGGTGAAAAGATCAGCCGGAACCAGCAGTGGATAGCAGTTCGGCGTCAGCGCGGCATTGAGACCGGTGGAGAGGTCAGCACAAATGTAAGGCGAGCCACTTGGCTTCTTAACCACAATGATTGGAGCGGCCCAGGCGGAGTAGGATACAGATACTAGAACTCCCAATTCCTTCAGACGCCTCAGTTCAGCCTCGACAAGTGGTAGGGCTGCATATGGGACTGGTCGCTTTGAACGGAAGACAGGTTGACTTCCAGGAGAAAGATGTAGCACGGCTTGAGTGTATGTGCAACGACCCAGGCCGTCTTGGAACACTGGAGCAAACCGCCGGAGAATGTCCTTGGCTTGGTCTGCGAGCACAGCGGCAATCTGCACCTGACCGCAAACAACACGGAGCGGCATATCGGCCAAACCGAGTTGATCAATCCGGTCGACACCAGGTAGGTTGAGATCAGGTTTGGTGATGTAGCAGATCGCGGTGATGCTGGTACCGCGAAATGAGACACAGCATTGCAATTGCCCAATTAGCTGTACGAGACCACCGCACGCGCTTGTGGCGGACTGGGAAGTCTGCTGCATCATGGGGCTGTCAAGGGACTGCCAGTCTCTCAGAGATGATGGTGATGTCTGAGGCAGTGTCCAACTGTAGGCGGACTGCATGGCAATTGAGCAAAACGTCAACCAATTTTTTACGGCCAGCCGCATTGAGCTGGAAAGTGGCCAAAAGACTGAGAGAATTACCAACGGACTGGGGTTTGGGCTTGCGTTTTGACCGGAAACGGTGCCTGGAACTAGAAGTGGCGGGGGTCGGTTTGTTTCCAGAAGCTGGTATTGATTTGCAGAACCCATCACGGTGTCTCATCGGATTACAACTTTGGCAGCGATGCTGGTGGAAAGTGTAATCCGGGTGGAAATGCCACGCGCCACATTAGCGACAAAGAGATGGCGGAGATTTCGCTCTCGGCACTTACTTGGGCCCAGCAACAGGATGAGATTTGGCCGCTGAGACCGTATAAACTGAGCAAGATGTGGCAGGGTTCTGAATCATGGCGGAGTCGCGCTTGACGTTGATCATCGTTTGGCACTCTGCTGCCCGCTCTTAGAGTATAATTAAATTGTTCTGCTGCACTTTGGACAGGAGACGTGTCCGGACATCAGCATTCTTGGAGGACTGGAGGCCGCAGATAAATATAAGGCGTTTAAACTGGTCTTCAGTAAGATAATCGAGTAGAAAACGCCGACACTCACGATTGACAATGCCCGCATACGTGATGAAATCATCGGAATCGCATTTGCACAGTTGCGAGCACTGAAATCGAGTGTTGAAAAGGGATGATTGCCCACCAAAAATCTGCGACAAAGTCTGAACCGTGTTCTTGAAAGTGACTTATCGGGCATTCTTAGGGAGAATGAAGTTGGCATAAGGCTCGTGTTCAACCGGACCCAGTTTGCGAAGCAGGAGTCGAACCTTCCATGCATCGTCCTGGGCAGCCAGATCGACAGAGAACAAGTCCTCGTATCGTTTGTACCAGGAATCAAAGGTGATATGGGCCTGCGGGTAATACATGAATTCAGCGATGCTGCCGGCAATGTGATCAACAGATTGTGAACCACCAGCCGCGCTTGATCGACCCATGGATGAATTGGATAGCTTGACGGTTAAAGCCTCCATCAGCTTCAGCTGCTGCAACATCTGCTTTAATTAGGCGTACTCGTCAGCCATTGTAGTTGAAAAATTGCGTTGCCAATGTGTTATGACTCGCCTGGTACTTGAAATTCCGTGGAGCGTATACGCACTCGACCCTTGTCCCCAATACCAAAGCGGCAGACAAAGAAGACACGGCCAGTCACGGAAAGCGTATTAGAAAAACACTGCAAGTCGCGAATAGTTGGAAGGTGACGCATATTTATAACACCCTACTGTGGTTCGCCGGCACTCGGCCCAATGACCTTCGGGAAGAGGGGAGTAGCCAATGGAGAGGCGCCCGATTAAGATGGCAGCGCTGTAGGGAGAGGCAGACAGGGGCGAAGTTGGCGGGCAGTCAAAAAGACGAAACGGCGATTTGTGGTGCTGTGCTTCTGTCAAGCCTTTTTCTTCTTTACCTTACAGACCAGAAAGAGGATTCAAAAAGAGTTGAGAAAACGACTCCAGTGGATGTAGTACCTACCCCAGAACCACAGCAGTGAAGTGCCCAATAATTCATTTTTACCGCCGTTATTCCCACCTTCCTTGAGACTATACGCTTCCCCTCCTCATATACCCTATCTTACTATATAAATATCTTGTGTCCAGACAGTTCTCCTTCTACTGAGTATCGCTTGAGTTTCTGATTGAAGGATGAGTGACACTGACGATCAGTGCAATTCAGAGTCGACGTACGGTACCGAGTCCAAGCCAACCCTTGAAGGAGTAGCAGCCGCAAGGATCACTACAGTAAAGGAGACAGGACGAGTGAGTGGCCCGTCTACAACAAGAGCAAACGCACGTGGTCTCCAGTGATTGGCTGGCTCTTGTTTTGGGGTGTAGGCACGAACAGGAGGATCTGACTTCGACTTGTGACTTCTCCCTAAATGCGCCCAATCAACAACGACCTGCACAAGTAGCAGTCAGATCGGGGGTATGCGTGGGGGAAAAGCATGTTTTAAAATTAGGGGGAAAAGACTTACCTTGAGAAGTTTTGGCATGATGAATAAAATGTACTCAAGGCAGTAGAAAAATACGCAGCCGAGAAGCACGGACACCATCTTCCATAGATAGAACCGTCCTTGGCCTCCAAATTCGGCTGGCATGTCAACCATGCGCATTGACTGGAAAAGGCAGGAAATAGACAGGCCGTAAGTGCTTACAGGGCTTACAAATTCATTTGAATTTAAAGGGAAATGGCACTCGTTTGGAGTCAGGTTCGACCCCTAGTGTGATTATGCAAGCTGATCGTCTTGGACGCCAAAATAGACGCGCGGCATGGAGGGCTCATCAGAAAAATGTGGTCAGACTATCATGCAAATGAGTCCGGCCAAGCTGTAGTGAGAATTGGACTGGAAGAGAATTCAAGGGAAGAAGGGAAGTCCTAAAATACCCAGCCAACGAGCAGTAGACTAGAAAAGATGCCTACTGGGTGGATACTGAATGGCAGATACCTGATCATAACGTACTCTGAAAATCCCATTCCGGCGAAGGTACTGATAACAACGCATGTCTAAAGCTACTCATATTCCCAAGCGCCACATAATTAGCAAACGATTTCTGTGTCGCGTTAGGAAGGCAAACTTAACATTTAACCCGGAAATCGGGATTTTATCGCCTCCCTATATGGCACCAATCCGTCCTAGCGTAAAAGCATGGTTCAGAAAGAGTGTGGGTCACAATAACAAAACTTATACTCTTTTATGCATTACGCACTTTTCAGGAATTGCTTTATTCCTCTTGTGCTAGACTGTACGAGAGCACAGGGCAGTGTGGGTCTCGTCTTAAGGCACAGGGCAACATGAAAACTATCAGTCTTAATAGTCGAGTCCGGAGCAACGATAAACACAACCCAGTTAAATCATATTATGCCCTAGTTGACAAAAACTCACGTCGGGACGACAGCCACTAGGGACAACAAACGACTTTCAAAGGAACAATTAACAGCCCGATCGAAAAAAATGTAAAAACGTTGCCAGACTGGTGGGAAGGAAAGAGAAAAGGTAAAGTTTATAATGTATGTGATTCTGCCTTGAACTACCCTTCCAAAATCACCGTAAAGTATGCCAACCGAATAAAAACCTGTGCAAAAGAAGTTATTAAACACCAAGGTCTTGCGGTCTAACCACGAACGAATAAACAATTTTTCACATTTCCGGCTATGACTAGTGCGAAGGAAAGTGGGCGAAAACAATTTCACATGATTTACATAAAAAAGAGAGCGTATAGGTACCAGGTGGAATCCTAGTTCTCCAACTAAAACCTCGAGAAAACGAAAGGCCATATGACCCACAGGGTGTTACTTTAGAATAGGCTAGGGCATACAGAGTTGGTTTTTGGGTCATTAGCAGACGTATTCAAGTGTTCATTGGATCGACAGAGTTACCATATCCGCTACAGGACAACGGATAAGAGCGGCGACGAGAACATTAAAAGACAATCAGAGGAAGATATAGCAGAAAATAGAAACACATAACTGACCAAGCATGAGACTTCGAAGCCAAGTTGCAGTGACTGAATGGCATCCACACTTTTAAGTCAAATTAATGGAGTCCATTAAGCTCGAAGGGAGTACAAGGTCAGATCTAGACAGTCTAGTCATCTGGCTTATACTATGCCCTGAGCATCTCGAATCTGTTGTGCTTGAGGCTGAACTGCAGCATTTACAGTAGACGAAGAGCTGTTATCATTATTCTTCATTCTGTGTAGCATCAATGCGAGTCTAGTCGTATCCATGGTGCATGGCATAAGTCGCGTAGACTAATGGAGAGTAGCAAAGATACGATAGGAGCGGGAATCCTGGCCCTGTCTGCCCTTGAGCGGAGTCTATGCGACAGCGGCAGCTGCTGTGGTAGGGAAGGTCCTATTAGATGGAGGGGCATATACGCCGTGTTAAAGTATCGTTTTAGCCTGCGGTCCTTCTCAGGGTAAATGATTTTCCTAGTCACGACAGAAATTCTTGTCCCTATTCAGTCTGCAAATGCTCATTCGGTAGACCTTTGATTGTTTAGTTCGTAAACGGCCCTCGCTGAAGACCACTCTGTTGTCCACCCACGGGCGCGCCGGGTAGCTCGCAACTAGGCGGACAGACACGCTGTCTTTCTGTTGCATTCTTTACCGTCTTATTGGCAGAAAATTATCGAAAACTACTCGAATTTCAAGCCTCGTTAGCACACAACCCCAAATTGGTAACTAGTAGGACAAAAGTGTAACGCGAGGAAGACCTGCGAATTGATTAAAAATCCGTCAAGCGTCCAAAGTGGCAAATTCAGGTATAAAATACTATCTGCTTGCTACGACAGCTAAGTCTAATTATAGCAAATCAACATGGGAAAGCCGGCTATAAAGTCAGGTAAAGATGCGAAGAACTCGACGAAGAGATGTGTAAATGTCTGAATCTGAAGTAACAGGTCCAGTTTTAGGTCTGTGAGACTTTGCAGTGTTACATTTTGCATAGAAAACCTACAAATTAACTAGCGTACAATGAATGGTCGAAATTCAGGGGTAACCTACCTCTGGAATAAGAACCAATAGAGCGGTGGATAAAAGAGCTCCAACGGCCAGACTGACCAGGAAAGTGAGCAATATGGGGTAGAATCGGAAGCGTTTAAGTGGAACGAAGATCAAGCCACTGAGGGCACAGAGATTCGTCACAGTTACGCCGATAAATCCGTAAAGGATTGCTAATGAATGGCAAAAAACAACGCTAAACTAGAGCTGTGAAAATATGCTTTCAAATCAAAGATGCTATGCGACATATAATCATATTGAAATAGGACTTTGTGTGCCATGGGATAGTAAGCAAAAGTATATTTTAGATGAATAGGATAGCCTTACAAAGTTTGAGGGGAGGACGAGTTTCAGACGCGGGGGACGAGACGTCAATTATAAAAGCGGCGGAAGAGTCCTGTTGCGATGAGATTTTCAGAATAGTGATCGAATCTGAAAAATTCCTGAGCTGAAAGAGAGATTAACTTATAGGAATAAGATTAGAACAGTTATAACGGCAGATTTTAAGTAGTGATACGGAGTGAAAACAGCGATCGAAAAGCATTCATGGGAATCCCCATTAAGGCCCTTAAATGAGGGCTGAGCGCTCGGATGACAATAGTAAAAGGAATTCAACCTACGCAAACAAGTTGGCCCAAATATATGAACAGGACGACAGTGAAAAGCGTCCTAATTGAAGGAATACCGATTAGATCTGGAGAAAATGATAGGGAATGCTTTTAGAAGAAATGTAAGCCTGTCGCTTCCTGTGACGAAAAAAATAAAGCAACAACTTCGAATGACGTCCAGTTCCCATTGCGAAAAATTCACCAGGGTTAAATCAACCTGTACCGGTTAAAATAAATGTCCAGGTATTTTATAGTGCACTTAAATATGTGAGCAATTTTGTGTTCTTGTTACTATGATGTGAAAAACAAAACTCTTAAATAGACTTACTGAGGGAAGGGAAATAGAAACTAGAGGATTCTCAGTTGGAGTAAAGTTGGTGATTGGCAAAAGTTGAAAAGGAGTAAGAGGCAGCGATGAGTTGACGGACGGACCGATCAAACCGCCTTCCTCCATCGGGTAGATGTGCAGTACCGGCACGGCTTGAACGGAACAATTGTTGGTGACATCCAAGTTAAGCAGAGAAAAGAGAAGAATCACCAACTTCCAGTGTCGATGAACTGATGACGATGAAACGTAGTCCGTGAGGAATGACAGGGTTGATGCCATTTGTTTGGAGGTCAGAGAGTATTAGGGAAGACCACTATGTTGAGATAAGGTAAAACGGAAAACTAGATGGAACCCTCCAAAGAAATGAACGACAAATAAAGGATGTCAAACAAAAAAAACGTCGATGACAAACATCATGTGAGACTTCGAAAAAAAATTCAAATGCCTCGAGACTATGTTACACTACTGTAACCTAGAACGGACTGGTCATGACCAGTCCACCTACCCTGTTCAGGGCATACAGTAACTCCCGAATAGATTTTCCTTGCAGACCATTTGTCCGCTATTGAATGTGCACATGGGTTCGTCACGATATTTGAATAATTGTGAAGCCCCATGCGCATGGAATGTTCAACTGTTCCCCAAGCCCCACAAGGGTGATCGGCTGTCCCCGAAAAAAGAATAAAAACTAGTGGCCTCAACCACCACTAAGTGACAACCATCTCTTGGTTGACGTACGCGACTGTCATCTTAAAATAACGTCTATCAACGTAAGGGCGCCCAAACCTACTTTAGAAACCCCACTTATCGCATTCTCTGGGCCAAAAACTATACGAAAACCGACCATAACCTACACGAGGCTATTCCATTGGGGGGACGCAGTAAGACTCCTTATTTATACTAGTGCTAGTGTGACGCTGGTTGCTCAAAGTCGCTGCCAATCACATTGTCAGGTTTGGATTATTTAAACGGGCGGTTTGCGCGTCATCGAGGGCGAACCTAGATCTTCAGTGGAAAAACGCATGTGGAGCCGACCGTCGAGGTCCTGTGCTCAAACGTTCGTATTCGTCTTCAAGCACCAGGTTAATACCGTCAGAAACATGTCCGATGAGCTGTGTTGTCAAACGTTAGTCAATAATTGCGGTAGGAAATCATTACCTGTAAAAATTAGCCATAGTTGAGCTCAAACTACCTATTTAAAATATTTTACTGTATTCTTTTTGAGCCACGGGGTCCGCGTGAGGGTTCACGTCTAGCACACTAATCACTGGCTTGCAACCGTCTTCGCAGTGTAACAGGTGAACAAAATAAATGAGCAACTGGCGCACATGAGGGCACAAAAATTCGCATCGTACCTTGGTAGGCGGAATACACACACTGATCTTCAGTGTACGAATGCCGGACAGGAAAAATAACGATGAAGAAAAGTTTAAATTTGTGCAAATTATGGGTAAAAACTATCGAATGCAATAAACCTAACAATATACTAAGGTAATATGAGTAAGGGGCACGCTCTTCTGTAAGAAGCTTTTTTGAAGATGGGACCTGTGCAACAATGCGCGTCGTTCACGAACTGCTAAATTATAATTCCCGAGTATCCATCATTATACGCAGTGAAAAGTAAACTCCAATTAGGCGATTCACCAGTCGGAGGACTCTCCCCTGCCTCCAACAATAACCCGTCATCTAACCCTAAGTATTGTGCCATACTAACGGAAAATTTAATGAACAATGAACGGCGCGTAACCATGCTTGGTTCTTTCACAGTAATTTTGGAAATTGTTGTTGCCCTAGTCTGTAGGCTAACATACTACTCAATAACAACGCTGGGGCTCGAGAAGCCCGCATTCATGCCCAACACTGCAGGTTGGAATAGAAGAAAAGCACGCAACTGCCCCCACAAACGACTCTATATCCTGATTGGTTGAGTTGTTTTGACGTGCACATAACATAAGCTGTGCGTCCGCCAAAATCGCCTTCAGTGCTCTTTAATTATGTTGGGCTTATAAGTAACGCACACGCAACAACTGTTCAAACTACCACCTGTATGGAAAACTGCAAGACCAAGAAGTCGATTCAATATAACATAATAAAACAAATATACGGCCATTTTACCCGATACGGAAATATGTTGGCATATGCAAAGGACAGTTGGATGTATCTAAAAAAGCACAAAAAATATATTCTGACCATTGAAATTTCTCATGTTGCTCTTCTCCCTGTCTTTAGCTATTTTATTTAATTCGTGCAGGGCAACCTACGTACCGAAGTTCAGGTAATAAATATGGACAGAAATGATTCACCTCTTGTTTTGAAAGGCTGATCTTGCTAGTTGGACCCGATATATAGGGAAAAATACCACGATCGCTACCTCTTGGGCAGTTGAAATCGGTATTTTCGAATGTGCGTGTGTGCCAGCTTGCATTGCCTTGACCGCATTTCTCTACGACAGCTTCCCCGAAATTGTGCCCTATTAATTCTTTTAATCATTTTTCGGCGTCATTAAGAGAAATAACTTTCATGTCGGCCACCGCAACTTCTTCTCATTGGTGGCAATGTAGGGATAGGTTCCGACTTACAGGCAGATCTCAGCATTTCTGCATTGGTAACGCCAAGTCGAAATGAGCATCGTTTGCCGAGGATCTCAAACTGTTGAAATCAATAGAGATGTCGCAAGATCCGCTATAGTTACAAAACAATCTAAATCGCTTATAAAACCGGTGTGATGAGTGCTTTCTCAATTTCAACCGTAACGAATGCCAACTTATCCGATTTTGATCTAGCTACACAAAGCCATTGAGATTTGAATCTCTTTACTTTATAGGATACCACTAACTCGATTCCCTCAACGAGTTAACAGACCTCAGTCTATGGATGATGTCAACTCTTAAACAATCGTCTCACTATGCCAAGGTATCAAAGAAGGCCATAGATAGCCTAGGCGAGATTAGATGATCCTTCGAAAATTTTTATGAAGAGTCTTTCGGCCGAGTAATTGGAATTTTTGTTCTACGTGAATGACAAGTCGTCGAGGGAACCAATATAAATTAAAGATAAAGAATGCTAACCTTGAAATGCGGGCTAAATCTTTTTCCTACCAGTTGACTGAAGGATGAAATGGCTTGCCGAACTCAACTGTCCTGGCGGAAAACGTAGAGACCTTTAAAAAGTTCTTGATTAATTTAAGCCTAATGGTCAAGTAGTTACTCGACATCAATGACTGGCATAAGTGTCATTGAAATATGTGCATGTTTTTCACCCGTTTATCCGTAAATAGAGTTTTCCTAGGCCCTGCCTATATGTCTTATATATATCCTAAATAATACTGAATTGGTAGGTGAAAGTATGGCGATTTTTCCCAAGACAGAGGGTCAAACATCTGTTTTTACACTGACATCACAATTTATTATTCCTCTACGTTTATAAATGTTATTTTGGATTACATTCCCATGAGTCGTGCATTGCAATTTTAGTCATTTTCAGGAAGTTAACATGTGCGCTACCACAAATAAAACGGCACAAAGCGAGAGCAGTAGATAAAGTTAATGGTAATCACTATGTAAAAAGCTGGTCTTCGCAAAAGACCCGTTTAGACTTGTATAAAATATGCCCAGCAAAATATCATGGAGGTTACGACAGAATTTGCCCTTCGAGCATTTAGCACGACTAGACTGGCTGAGCCCGGCCGTACTACTTGCTTATTTGACGTCAGGATTTTGTAACCTTCTCGATATAGCGTTGTTCAGGGTTTGGCATTGTTGACCGCCTCTTCGATTGCTCCTTATTACAATTCGCATAGGGTGGATTCAGCGGGTAACTGCGCTGGATAACCAGAGGAGCTAACGTTTCGGATTTTGCTGATGACGCCATCTAGTCTCACTGCAGTTAACGAACCTTTTTGTTACACAATCTGTGATGCTTTTGCCGACACCACTTTTAACCCAGTGCTTCGCACGACATGGCCGGAACTATATGCAATATCTTCTCACCCTAGTGACTTTCACAGCATTGAAGACCCCGAGGACCCAAAATAATCTTCAGGCGAATGGTGCTCTTGCTTCACCGATCGTTCCTCCCTCTTCGCGACCACCTCCCGAAGCTCTCCTCTTCGCATCTATTAACAAGTCAAAAGAATCAAACACTTTCAGTTTCGAACTTCGTCTGACTTCATGGTCGATTTTCGCTCCAGTGAATCAAGCCAACAAAAACGAGTTCAGCTTTGTTAATATCGTACTGGACTAACAGCTTTTTAGCCATTTCCGCAAAACTCTGGTGCACTTGTTCAGCGCCTTTCTAAATCTTGATATCTTATCTCTTTTTAGCGCGAAAGCTTGAAGTAAAACTCCCCGGAGCTCCAACTGGAGTAAGAACAGTTTGAAACCACTGTGGAGAAGGCCAGTAACCCTCAGAGGTTAGGTTTGATTAAAACCATTCCATTGCATAAAATGTCAAAAATAGGCATGAGGTCGGATCAAAATGAGTTTTGTGTACATCAGTGTTCAACGTTCCCTTAAGACAACTGAGCTTCAGAAAGAAGCCCTGATATCCTTCTTATAACAGAGACATGGTAAAAAAAATTGAAATTGCGAATGCCGAGACTATGTTGTAAGGAAACCAGTGTTTACCACGATCGTACGGATAAACAGTTTGATTGGGTAGTCGTACATGCGAGGTCAGGAATCTGGGCAGTTAAACGAATGTACAGTCTGTGCCTTTAATACGAATCCGTCTGGAAAAAGACAATGAAGGTCACTTCACCAAATCTTGAAAGCCTTGCGGTTTAAGGACCACCAAACCACCAAATTGCAGTTGTAGATGCACTAACCTACATGGTTAAGGGATTAATTCACTACTAAGAGATTGTTAATACTGGAGATTTCGACGCACCTGCAATAAAGATCCTTCTGTGAGCTCATTATCAGTTCATCTAAGAATCGTCAAAATAGTTGAATGAGCTTCGAAAATGAGGTTAGCACGAAAAAGGCGTAGAGAGTCTTCAGGTATTAATGACGTGAATGCTTCTAAATCGGTTGCTCAGATCTTCCGTCAAAGATCATCTGCTAAGTCTCAACAAGTCATTCCGCCTTTGCTTAGTACCAACTATACCTTCATTACAGAGGAGTCAGGCAAAGCAGAAATGTTAAATTCTTTCTTTGCCAAACATTTCACTATTGAAACTGACCCAATCCCTTTAATTATCCGTTGTCTGATGCTTCTCTTAGCATCATTAATTTTTCTCCTGAATGTATTCAAAAACTGATAGGCCATCTTCCTAACTC